TCTTAAAATAGTTACAGTATAAATTATTGTTGGTGGAATAATCGTTACAGTATACTATGGCTGGGACAATATCTTAAAATAGTTACAGTATAAATTATTGTTGGTGGAATAATCGTTACAGTATACTATGGCTGGGACAATATCTTAAAATAGTTACAGTATAAATTATTGCTGGTGGAATACTTAACAATGTTTTTTAACGATTCTTTTAGTTATAGAATATCTTTTTTAAAATTATTTTTAGGGAAATTTTATTTTTTAATTGTTCATAAAATATATTTATTACAAGAAATGTTATTCCTTTTTGCAAATGTTTTCTTTGTGATGCAATATGTTACTTTTAAGTGTGCAGGTTGTTGCATGGTTTATGTGTCTCAAAGTGGCTGCTTTTCTATGGACAGGCCAGGTTGGTGCAAGGCAGCTTTGCCAGATTTTGTGTGTTTCTGAGCAATACAACTTCCTGACTGCTGGACTTTGCAGCAATACAGACACTTCCAGGAGAAGTATGATGGACTGGCAGTATCCAACAAAAAGTTAGGTTGTGAGTGGAAACATTTCCAGGTTGTGCCAGCAGGGTCAACTAAGGACAATCAACAAGCATCGCTCAGAAAAAAAATTAAGGGAACATTTTCAATCAAAAGCACACCTTGTTTGTTTGGAGAGCAGTAAACAACAGGAGCACGATGCTTTAACCAAATCCATAGATAAGTTAACATTTATCCAGTACTTGCAAAATATTTTCTACTGTTTATGATCTGGTACAAAGATGTAATCCACTCTCAGATATCAAAGCACAGGTTTCCATCAATCTGCTCATTTTCTATATCAGCCATTTTTTTTTCATAGCCTGGAAATCTCTGTATTTAATCTGAAACCTCATTTGTGCTCCACAGAGAAACTTCTCTGGAAAGACTTTCAATCACTCTGGAATGGTTTCCTCTCCTGTTCCAACTACAGTCAAAAATTTAAGATTGCAGATTCTTTGCATAAAATGACCAACTGAAGATGGGAACTTTTGATATAGCTTTGTATTCATTTACAGACAACATCTCCCTCCCCCTTCAGATTCAATTTTCTCACCACATACCAACACACTAGATGGCTAGACCAGGAAATCAACTCTGTAGAAAGGCTAAAACTACCTTAACTGAGATTGACTATAATAATAGAATCTTGCAAGTCTGATTGTGCTGTTTCTTCCTCTCTCCCTCCTCCTCCCACTGCCCCTCTTCTTTCCCTTCCCTTTCCCATACCCCCTCCCCCTCTTCATGAATTAATGAATGGCCTGAGCCATTATCTTATTGTTCTGGACTTATAAATGCTTCAGCTCATTTTGCCCAAATAATGATCCTACATATTTCAGTCAAGATCATCTTCCTTACACTCTACAAGTTCTTTGCTCTACTCTCCCTTGTAATTCTTTTCTTGTCCACTAGTGGCTTTTTAGCAAAGAAGTTTCATCCTGAGTCTTCCTACTTGGATTATATTGTGAACAGTATGAAGCTAGCCCTTGATCTCCCCCCGCCAAGAGTAGTTTTTCATTTATTTATGATATTCAAGAATATAAATGGGTTATTCATAGGCTTCTATTCATGTCAACTTTCTAAAGCACATATTTTTCATTCAGGTTTATTTTAGAATATAGGCAGTTTATGATATAATAATGGATCATATGCTTGGCTTTTTGAAATGTCCAGCAACTTTGCTGCCTGCTATTGGGTGACCTCTTTGTTTTAGAGCAGTGGTGTCAAACTCGATTTCACTGGGGACTGGATCAGCATTGTGGTTGTGCTCCAGGGGCCAGGGAGGAAGGAGGGATCTGGATAGGATGGTCATAGCCAACTGGGTATGGCCTGGGGGCATGGCCAGCTTGACATTGCTTGTGTGAGTGGTGCCCATAAGGACTGGACACAGTTGGGAAGAGAATCCAGGAGTTTTTGGTGGGTGGGGCAGGGTGGTGGTGGAAGGTTTGGCCTGTGAGTTGAGGTGAGGTGAGGTAGGGGATGGGGCAGTGACATCCTGTGTGTAGTGGTGGGTTGCCAATTAGTTTTACTGTGCATATGCACAGAAGCATCTGGGCGGGTGGACAGAGACTCCCACCACCACTACTACCAGTTTGCCCAGGTTGAACTGGGACAAACCCACTCTACCAGTGTGCCTTCGGCTGCTCTCAGTGCCCCACTACCACCAGGCTGGTTTGGTGGTGGGTATTGCCTTTCACCATCCATGCCACAAATGTGGATTGACCAACCCCAAGCCCTGCTGCTGTGAAAATAAATTCTGGGTGCTGCACTGCAATGGTCAGATGAAAAGTGCAGCTTTTGTCTGAAGGAGGAGAAAGACAAGAAAGTGGGAAAGTGGCCAAGTGAGAAGCACTGTGCTGGCCAGACATTGAAGCACACAGCTGTCAGTCCTGGTAATATTCTCTGAAGTTACATCAGATCTTCCTCCCTCCCTCCATCTCTCTCTCCCTCTCTCCCCCCCCTCTCTCTCATACCCACACTTGCCACCATAAAGGAGCAGGAGGATGAGTGATGCATTGGTCATAAAGCCATAAAGCAAGGTGGTGGTAGGGTTGAAGATGAAACAAGGTGGTGGGGGGGGTAAGATGAAACAAGGCAGAGGGTGCTCCCCCATGTACCAGCTTACCTTAGGGCTCTGCAGCCAGACCATCAACAACCTGACAACTGCCTGACCTTGCAGCAGCGACTCCAGAAACCCTGTCCAAGACTCTCCATGGCGATCAGGTAAGCCACTGCAGAGCGTGGGGGGAAGCTCTGCACTCTTTAAAAATGTAATCAATAGTGACCATAATAACAAAGCTATTNTTCAGCCTCTTTTTTGAGGGAAAAAGGTGCATCTTATACTCCGAAAAATATATGACGTGGGAGCTATTTTATAAATGGTTGGAAAATAAAAACAGAAGTCAGAAATAAATAGAGATCAGTGCACCATAGAAAACATGTTGAGATAGAGACGTAAACAATATGATGATTCTCACCAATATGACTATTAAGATTATTATATTTAATATTATTATTATATTCTTATTAGAAGATACCTTAAGAAGGAGAAATGAATAGATTTATGATGCTTATTATTACTATTGTAAGGTTGGAGAATCAATATCAGTGTAATTAATACTGTTGAAAATTCTAATTGTTATTGCGGAGATATTTGTACCCAGATGACACTCTGTTTAATGGAAGATGGAATGTTTAAGTTAAAAAATAAAATAAAATAACCTTTTAAAAAATGGTGGCAAGAAAGGTCATAAAAACAGGAGAAAACTCACTTAAACCACTGTCTTGTTTAGCAACGCAAATGTTGGACTGAAATTGTGGCCTTAAATCAATGACCACCGGTGTTAGGTATTTACACTGATACTGACACACACACACACACACAAATGCACACACAAATGCACACACACACATATAAACGAAAAGACATAACAGCTTAAAGTATTTAAAAAAGTTACAGATGATGCCATTAGGATGCTTTTGACTATTTCTCTGATATTAATTGTATTTATTGATTTTTTTTCTGCCCTCTGCCACACAGAATGTCGAAACAGCATAAACAGGTTCAACTGGCATTTAAGTGGCTTCTCACTGACCAGTGTTCCTTAAAATAAGTAACGTGTTCAGATACATCTAAATCTCCTACTCGGTAAATAAATAAAGGAAGACCAATTTTAATAATATGTCCTGTCATATTTATAGGCCATGCTATACTCTATAGATCAGTGGTGGGTTCCGGATCCCGTCGCAACTGGTACGCTGCGACAGGGCCGGGAATCCAGCACGGGCATGCGCGCTGCACACACAATGCGCATTCACTGCCTTGCGACGCTTCGGCTGCTTGCCGGAGGGTTGTGCAGGCGCTGTACGCTGCACGCATGTGCGCAAATGGCCCAGTTGGCTTAGAAACAGGTAAGGAACGAAGGCGGGCGGGCGGGGCCCTCCGAAGCACCGTTCCGGTATGGTGGCTGCTGCTCACAGTAGCATACCGCCCAGAACCCACCACTGCTATAGATGTGCCAGAAGCGGCTGGCTTGTCAGAATGCTCTGAAATTTGTATCCCATTTTTATTCTTTTTACAAATATCTCAAGGCACCAAGCATATCCTAAACACCGTCCTCCTCTGATATTCCCCACAAAGACAACCTTGTGAGGTGGGTTGGACTGAGAGTGACTGACCCAACTTCACCCAGGTGGCTTTCACACCTAAGGCAGGACTAGAACTCATGGCTTCCCGCTTTCTAGCCTGTTACCCTAACCGTTAGAACAGTCTGACTCTCTCTCTATATAAGGCAGCTGATATATATTTCATATATCAAATTAGTTTATTGAAATAAAGGTAGTCCTTGATTTACGACCACAACTGAGCCCAAAATTTATGTTGCTAAACAAGACAGTTGTTAAGTGAGTGTTCCCCCATTTTACGACCTTCCTTGCCACCATTAACACGAATCATTGAAGTTGAGTGACACAATTGTGAAGTGAATTTGGCTCCTCCATTGTCAGAAGGTCACAAAAGCAAATTACGTGACCCCGGAGCACTGCAACCATAAATGTGAGACAGTTGCCAAGCGTCTGAATTTCGATCCTCTGACCAGGGGGGATGCTGCAACGGTCGTAAAAGTGAAACAGTCATAAGTCACTTTGCCAAGTGCCATTGCAACTTTGAACTGTCAATAAATAAATGGTTGTAAGTTAACGACTACCTATAATCCAGTGGTCTGCATGCATTAAGTTTAAATTTCTCAATGTGTTCATCTAAAATGTCCCAGGTCAGTATTTAATTTAACATTGTCCTTAAAGGTAAAGGTTCCCTCCGCACATATGTGCTAGTCGTTCCTGACTTTAGGGGGCAGTGCTCATCTCTGTTCCAAAGCCGAAGAGCCAGCGCTGTCCAAAGACGTCTCCGTGGTCATGTGGCCACCATGACTCAACGCTGAAGGCGCACGGGACGCTGTTATCTTCCCACCAAAGATGGTCCCTATTTTTCTACTTGCATTTTTATGTGCTTTTGAACTGCTAGGTTGGTAAAAGCTGGGATAAGTAACGGGAATTCCCTCCATTACGCGGCGCTAGGGATTCGAACCGCCAAACTGCTGACCTTTCTGATTGACAAGCTCAGCGCCTTAGCCACTGAGCCACCATGTCCCTCTTGTCCTTAAAAGGAAGCCTGAAAAATAAATAAATCTATACTATTTTATAGCCTGGTAGAACACAAGTCAACACCAACCTTCTATATTTCTGTCCAGAATTTGTATCCGTCTCCGGAGTAAAAAAGGAAGCTTTAAAAATACTTACAACCTTGCTGGAGGAATCGATACTTACTCTTAGGAAAACCTGATTTACAATGGCTTTGTTTGCATACATAAAAGTTGTGAGCAGCCCAATTCCCAGAGATATGCCTGTTAGGAAAAAAGGGTCAATTATATAAACAAAAAAAGGAAAAAGGAAGAAAGGAAGAAAAAGAACAAAAGAGGAAAACAAAAAACAAAAAGAA